GTTTAACTATATCCACCACTCTGGAAGATTTGACCAATCTCAATAATGTTATGCTAGGTATTGGTGCGCCAGCCACTTTCATTTTATGTTAATGCTATACTTTATGTCATCTTTATGTTTACATTTGTATTATGTTTTATGAGCAGCGGATTTACATAAGCACAACAAGTGCTTCCTATCCAATGCTCAAAAATCCATGTGAATAAAATAAAAAATGCAAGCCATATCTCACAAGGACTAGTTTTTAATAATGAATAATAAGGTTTCTAAATGATATAATACGTGCTGCACATAAAACAAATACAGTGGCATAAAATTAAAAGTGTTTTCTCTATGATCACACCAACCCTTACTGACTTTAATTTGCTCAAGTCACATTGAAAATATTTGCTATGCATACATTTATTCAGTTCATATATGCACCTTCCAAATGCAGTCTTCTCAGGTATGATTTTTAGAATACATGACTGCTACGTGACATTTCAGGCAAACGTCTAATCATCGATGTGAAGATTTGTGACCGTTTTAAATAATTGATGATGTAAAGGTTGAAGTCCCTTGGTGCTTGTTGTAAATTTTCCAAAAAAGTATTCTCCTATTGACTCTTGAATTCCTCTCCTAAATTGTATCCCAAGTATGCACAGCTATTTACAATTCTATGGTGGCATGGTATTTTACTGCTGTATCTTTCTATTTGGTCACCTACACTAGTTCAAGAGCATAAAATGATAAATGCCCTTCTGTTATGGCTACAACTTGCAGGTAGACATATTTGTGGAGAACGCCCACACACCACCACTGTTGAGAAGTGGTACTACACCCAGAAACAGCTGCCTCCGTGCAATTTAACCTTGACATTGCCTTTGGCATGGTACCTGCCTGTCAACAGCTAGTTCAAGGTTACAGTTCACAGTCACACTAGAAGCTGAATCATTTTGCAGATGTTGTATACCGATCTTTTGGGGACACTGTAACAGTTACATTCTCAATGTTTCAATGGACGTGGTCCTTACGGTCCCATAAGTATATTTCAAGTTTCAATATGCCCTCTTTTGTAAACTTGAATCACAGCATTTCATGTAGTTTCTACATGATACTTTTACTTGAATATTTTTATAACTCTGGATAATTGGCTAGAGCAGCCAGAGCAACTTAGAAACATACACTGCTCACTAAAATTGTTACAAGTCAAAGTCAACTTGAAGAAGAAATTGGAGATTTCAGACATCTGGTATTTTGGAGGTTTTCGTGACATTCATGTTCACCCCCATTTCCTGTGTCTGACCTTTTGACCTGTCATTTTGCTTGGCAATCTTCCCCTCCGACATGCTATCAACCTACTCAGGACACACAAGCCCACTGCACAGCCACACAAAACAAGATTTGTTGCTGGAAAAACTATTTAGTAACATTTACGTCATCGCTGTTTAAATGGTCCAGCAAATGTGTAATGTGTTCAGCATGAATCCCAGTTTGACTTGCTAATGCATTAATCGATTTAGAAGAAAATGCTAAGCTGATTATCTATTAGGATAATGTGGTTTCCTAGTAACAAGTCTTTGTGTAGTACAAACTATTTTGTACTAAAGACCCCATAGAACAGCTGGTTTTGTTGGTTCTGCGTGACAGCTGTCACTGTACTTCAAACTGTTTCTATTTCTGAGGGATTAGTTCACTTAGAAGGGGGGGGGGCAGAGCAGATAGCTAGCTACATTTTGTAGGTGTTTTGTGACATTGTCTATAGTTGTACATCTTTCATGCAGATTATCAAATTTTGCACATAGGAATCCTTTCCTTTTTTATCTCCTTTCAGAAAAAAACATTGCTTATTTTCAATATTTTATTCATCTGCATCAATACCCATGATACTAACTTTCTAGTATCTTGTGTATCATTATTCAATGTATCGTCATCCCCGAAATCTTAGTTTTGTACGCCACCAGTGCTTTCTGCTCTGTAAACTCTTCAGGAAAGAAATAGAATCAGAAGGTGGAATTTCCAGAGGAATGTTGGTTAGGTCCTTGAGCCAATTTAATGGCCACGCTTCCGTACCCATTCAAGGATCTGAAACAGGGTAGCCATGGTGGGGTCTGTTCTTGGGATATAGTAAACATTACTGCCACTGATTAGGTTTCACTGCTACATCAGGCTTCTAGACTGCTCCCATTTTATGAGCATATGCTCACAAAAATTGTAAAAATTAAGTTGTGCACCTAGAAATTTTTTTGTATTATGAAAAAATATAATAGCATAAAAAAATATAATAGCATGCAGTGCTCCCAGCAAAACTTGCAAGTTGCATGCAATATCATAATGTCATTATCATGACTGTATATTTGCTCTCTTGCTCTCTGATCATGATACATGTTTCTATGTATAAAAAAATACAATATTTGTATAACGTCCTACAAATTAACTTTAAATACAATGATCTACCTTCACAGTGGTGCTCCTGGATTTTTGCTGGTGTGCCTAATTGTTTTGGGTTGGGAGCACCAGTCTTAATCCTATGTCAAAAAAATTAGTCTGGAGTCCTGTAAATGAAAATTCCATTGCCGGAGCCAATTTTAATGTATGTATTGGTCTGAACATGACAGCAAGCAGACAATACAACAGGCATGAACAAAAAATATTGTCAGAAGTCTTTTATCAAAGCTTAGCTATAGCTGGACCTGTTTTTATGCCAAAAGGGTTTCCTCTCCGTTCCAACATTTTAAGTGCATTTTGTGCTCCTGAATGCCTGACATGCCAGAGTGCAGTGCACCCTTTAATGTGGGGTGTGTACAATGTGTAGGGAGACATTCAGGAAAGTTGTGACAACAGAACCTGATAGTGGAGTGTCAGTACTACAACTGGTAAAGTAATCTGTAAGCCCGGATACAAATTCTGCCATTCAGTGTGGGGAGGGGGGCAGTAGGCTTACTTTTTATCATGGTGTAAATGTTTTACAACAAAGGAGTTATTGCCAATACATGCCGGACTCCCGAGGGCTAATTGCAAGTACAGACAACATAAATGAAAAACAGAATTTACAATACAAGAAAATATACTACGTCCAACATTTTACATCCAACATTCTACAACACTTACTGAGTTTTGTTGGGTTTGACTTCTTTTTTTTTTGAGGCAGTACATACAGCATATGGTTGTTTGTGTAAGCCCAAAAAATGTTACTTGCATTCCTGAAATGGCTATGATATGAGACCCTACAATTACATGTATAATCCCATATCATGCACATGTTGTCAAGGAGACAAGGACTCAAGGATATGGTATTTAGACATGTAGGGCAATGTGGCATATGCCAACAGTAAGTATGATACATGATATGTTGCTGACCTAGCTAGGCACAAATCAAATTTGTCTGTAACAGTATTCTGTCTGTAAAAATGACTTCATTACATGTATGAACCCTCATCTTTTCTATTACCATATATAGTACATCTTCTATTCATGATGTGTGGATAATTAAATCATACTGACATTTGCTGTCAAAATATATTTATATCAAGAGTACCTACAAGAGCAGACTTGCTATCAATAAAATCCATATGATTCTTACGTAGTCCAACTAGAAAGTAGACATTTCATGTCTTTTATACCTAGTATAACTACTGAAACTAGTCCTACGTAGTACTAGTGTATTTGTTATACATAACATGTTTTTCAGACCCTTAACAATAGTCCTGAAGCTCTTAAAAAGAATCCTTGGTTGACTCATTCCTTAAGACATTACAGTCCTTTCAAATTATATTTTCTAGAAGGTAATTTTGAAGACCTTTTCTCCACCACAGTTGTAATTTTTAAAAGGATAGCAGTTGAAGCAGTTTTTGAATTGACACAGTGCTTATTACGATCCATAGTTATGTAGTTGGTCACCTTCATTTTGCCTTTTATGTCCAGGTAGCTCTCCTTGAAATTTCGTCACGTTTTCAAGTAGTTATTTAGAAAAGTAAAAGGTGAACAATTGAGTGGCCCCTCGTTTAAGACAATGATGATACACATAAGGGGCTAGAAGTACATACATTGGGCAGTATCTAACTTAAATGTATCTGCTATTAGTATTAGAGAAGCTGTCTGAAATATGTACTAAACCATTACTAGATTGCATATGTAAGGTGTTTCAAACAATTAGCAATACTTGTGAGTTGTAGATATCTTTTTGTATTGTATCGTATTGTGTGTACTATTGTATTGTATTGTATTGTATTGTATTGTATATTATTGTAGAAAATTTTGTTTTAGAAAAAGTGTAAGCAATAGAACTTATACCTGGTGAAAATTGATGGCCTGAAAAAGAGACTCACTGTATCTACAGTCATACTAGTACAGTACAGTTGGTCCGCCAAATTCTTACTGGACTTTCCTGCAACTTTGAGCTGTTTTGCTATGGTTATTCCAACTGCTTGAGGCAGAAGCGATTAGCAGTGATTTAAAGTCACCTGGTAGGAGGTAGTTGCCATGGTTACAGAGTCCAGGTGTTCGGTGAGCTCCGTCTCCAAATGTAACCTGTCTCAGCAGGAACCACTTCTCTGTAATCCCTTAAATATGGGGTTTTATAGATGAGCAGACTTCAGCGATAAAGTGGAATTTCAGGCCCTGTGCTTTTTAGCTTTTAACTCAATCACCCTACCCCCCTCTAGCATACATTGCAGCAGGGCTCAGCCCAGGTTCATAGTCAAACCTGAGAGGAGAGTGCTCACAATCTGGGGTGGTTTGGGAGCAACTTTTGGATTTTCAAGCCCTTAAAAACATATTTTGAAAGGCAAATCATTGGGTTAAGAGTGGGTGTGGTTGGTCCTTTTGATGTCTTATTTTGTCCCAAGATTTTTGTCAAATTTGTCAGTCAAAATTGATAGATTGGTTAAAAAGATTTCCGTCACACACCGCAAAGTTCCTGCAATTGACGAAATAACAGTGCTGGCAAGAGCCTTGCATTTCAGGCATTCTATAGTTGTTGTTTACATGTTTTTGTTGTTGTTGTTGTTTTCCCCCTGCAGAAGAAGGCCAAGGCCCAGGAGCTGTATGAAGAAGTCCTGTACCGGATGGACTTGATAGAGAAGGACTATTTTGGGCTCCAGTTTATGGACGCTGCACAAATTTCTGTGAGTTATCCTGAATGCATGGGGACAGAAATATACCTAGTAGTACTACTAGTCTCTCACTGTCTCTGTGCCCTACATTTAAGCATACATATTTTCATCAAATTTAGCAGGTCACAAGTTTCAAGTTTATTATTCGCTATCACAAAAGACACTCCTGGTTCCTTCAGTCATTTATGATCTCAGATACTAGTAATTAGTCTCACTCTCTGTAGATGAAATGTTTTTCTGTTTAAAATAGGGTAGATATTTAGTGATTAACAGTTTGCAGCCAAGGTGTTACAGACAGCTTCTGTATTTGCAGTCAATAGTTAGCTATGGTAATACTCTGGTTAAAGGTTGTAAAATGTTTGAATGTCACGGAATTATTCTTGTTATTTCTCTTCAACAGCATTGGCTGGATCCAACAAAAAGTGTAAAGAAGCAAATAAAAAGTAAGTACTCCAAAGTTAGTGTACTTTCCTTCAAATATTTTGTGTCAAAATCATATTCATTTTGCCTGTTTATATCATGTTCTGCGTTAATTTCTATTGCATGATAATACTGCCATACATTTTCCTGTATGAATGTTCTAATTTGTCTGTAATTCTTTATCAACTTCTAACATTACCGAAAGCTCTAATTTATTCCTTGTCCTGACCTCAAAATTCAGCTCCTTTCGTCCAAAAATTGTCCCAACAGTCCCAAACAAAAAGATCTGCATGTGGTTAAAATTCAACATTTTTATTACACCTGGAATGTCACGTGTCATGCCCTTTGTTTTTTTTTTTACGTTTTTACTGTGTTAACACCTTTAACAAAGGGAATCAACTTTTTTTCCTTGTTTTCCTGTATTGTCGATGGCAGCTTGGAATAAGGATTCCACTGTTCCTGGTAAATCGGTCTTTTCTGTTACGGGTTCTTATGTGCACATTTTTCTAGCACATCTGCACAATTTTTGTTTTGGAGTTTTTCTATTGCTAATTTGGAAATGCACAAATGCACCCGTACATTTGTCCTTATTGCAGGCAACTTTTTTTTTGTTTCTTTATTTTTATTTTTATGTACACATTTCTAATCTTAAACTCACATGTGGAAGCAAGGTTGTTCATGCTTTTAGTGCTTCTGCCTGACTCAAAGTTTCAAGTGAAGAAATGCCATGTTCTCTTCTTCCTTGTCATTGAAAAGTCTTGAAATCTCTTTATCAAGGCTGGTGCTTTGTGTGCAAACTGGCTGGCCATGTTCTTGTCCATTCTACAGTGTCAGAAAAGAAGCAAGAATACTTGATGCTGTTTATGAATATGATGACAGAATGTTTGTGTTATGCATCGTGCAATATGACAATGTTGCAATTCTATCTAATACTACAAACATTATAATTTTCATGTTGTAATGGTAATAATGTATGAATGATTGGTGTATTATTGTTTTGCCACAGTCGGACCTCCGTACACGATAAGATTTAGTGTGAAGTTCTACTCTTCAGAACCCAACAATCTACACGAGGAATACACAAGGTAGGTCTCTGAAAAAAGGCTTGTCATCAAAAATACATGTACCTCTGGGAACAAGTCATATTCCCAATGGTTCAAGATATGGAAGAATATAGTCTATATAGATTCTTTCATTTGCTTGCTTGTTGAAACATCTCTAAAGGTTGAAGGTTGTTGAAGAATAGCAAATAATTGACAACGCTGCCATTGGGGAAAAGTCGTGCACTGCAAACTCAATTTATAACTTATGTGACATGAGTTCATGTAGAGGTCAAATCAAGGTCAGCCTTATCATCTGGGACTGCTACTCTGATTCACTCTGGGATTCTAGTTTCAGCAAAACATGCAAATTACTGAAAAAATGTTTCAAAGACATCCAATGCAATTTCAAGGCAGCAAAACTGGATTTTTAAATTCAATTTTCTAGTCATTCTTTTAATGTAGTAATTTGAATCAATCATATCCCACAGCATACTGATATCGCTGATGGAAAATGATTGATTGTTTTATATCATAGGCTGCTTCTAGCTATTTATTTTTCTGCGCTGAAATTGCATTGGATGCCTTTACATTGTAAAAAAATTGATGGACAAACATGCCTTCTATCAGGTAATATAATATACCTGTCAACTGCAGAGACAACAGGTTTCAAGGATTTCTTTCCACAGTGTATTATTATTTTACCACAAGTATCACCAGCTGACACCCTGAATAAACACTACGGCTTGCAGTTGGTCTTGAAGCCAGTACAATATGTCCACTTTGTTACTGTTGATGGTTAGCCTTTGCCAGGGACCTCCAGCTGTTTCAGATTGTAGTAGAGAGGATAAGGTTTTTCCACTGTGTCCATTCGCCAGTGATAGAACACAGATGGATCAGACATGAAGTACTGTAGATTATGTTTACTCAATCTATCCCTGCCAGGAATATACAGTATACCGTAAATCATTTTATGTTCGTGATAGCAAAAGTTTGCAGTATGTGAAAAAATGGACAGGTTCGCGGAATTATATGTTGGCGGTGGCAGAAGGTGCAGAAAAATGAGTCAGAATTTTTTGTTCATGGTTATGATAAGTTTGCGGTACATAAGTGACAGCAAAAAAAAACATGAAATAAAAAGTCCTGCAAAAAATTGTGATTTACAGTGTCCCTCCCAGGAATATACAGCAGTTGTTGCCACCATATGCCAGAATTTGTACTCTGTTTGTTTTTGTCCACTACTTAGTAACTTCTCCAATCCCTCCCTCCCCTTGATATCTAATGAATTGTCCCTTGGCAGACTGTCCCTCCCTCTGATATCTAATGATTCATCCCCTGGCAGGCAGTCCTGATGTTATGTCCCAGCTGGTGGTGACATCAGTCTGATGTGACTCTGGGGAAAGTTTGACCTCCAGGGTCATGACCTCTAGCTTGTAATTGTTTACAAGTTAGTTTGGCTCCACACAAGATCAAAATGTGTCTTGTTTCTGTAAACTTTCCCTGCTGCAAGCTTCTGAGCCATGTGATGTTATTTGCGCAGCCTTGTTTTAGGTGTGTCTGTCAGTGTGTGTGTGTTTATGCACACTTGTAGTCAGCATAACTTTCAGGACCCCTTTATGGATTGTGATGATATTTGGTATGTTGGTAGGTCATAGGAAGACAAAGGTCAAGGTCAGTGTTCACGGTAGCAAAATTTCAGTGAGAAAAATAGAGTTGTTCACATGTATATGTTCGTGTTAGCGGGGAGGGGGGTAAAAGACGAATAATTTTTTTAGCGGTAATGGTAAGTTCATGATACAGAAATTACCATGAAAACATTGAACATAAAAAAGTACCTTAAAGAAATCAGTAATTACAGTATGTTGGGAATTGTAGACTTAAAATCATTACTGAATTCAAAGTTCTGGTGGAATGACAACTTCAATCAATCACAACTGCAACACCAGTACAATAACCACTGGCTTTTAGCTAATGCATTTTACCAAAATTTACATGTACAAACTACCAGGTAAATCTCTAACAATACATGTTAGATATATACATCTATAGAAATGTGGGCAGTCATTGTAGCTCCAAGGTCAAAAGCTGATTGCAAACTGGTCACAATTGACCAGCTGCACTCCCCATAGATGGGTTTTATCGTGCAAGGTAATAACTAGGTATGATGGCCTGTGTGCAATCACACCTCGTAAATGGTACAATCACATCCTGCAAATGTGGGTCATTATCAAAACAGGCCCATTATTAGAGTGGTCCATGCTCTGCCATTACAGGTAATGTTCTACCTCTATTCTACATTGACCCTGGTTGTTTGATTTGTGCATTAGGCCATGTTGATTTGATTTTATGGATGACATGCGCATGCATGAGTTTTCATCCCTTTCCATAAAAATATGTTTTCGACCATACTGTTGATCATAAAAATACTGTGGAAAATCAAAAAGACAGTACAGGAATATGTATATCAAATGGATACAGATGTCAAATATATGTAACAGTTCTGAAAACATAAGTTGATGATAAAATTTACTGCAAGACAAGTACAATCCATGTTTCTGATGGCAACCTTGCAGCCCCCACCCAAAAATCTGCTGAGATACATTTTGACACTCCACAGAGCACAAACATGACACAACTTCAAGTTCAAACTACCATATCTCTGCTAACAATCTCCTAACGTTGGCCCCCATGTACCCTGAGTACAAGGCCATTGTCAAGTACAAGTACCGTCACGGTCACTAGGTCACCACAGATCAAGATTAACAATGGTAGTTCCCACCTAATGAGACTGTGATTGGCAAGGCACAGCTGCCTGGGATCCTATAACTGTGCTGTCATCTGTTATGGTTTTATACTGTCTATCACTTACCTCTAACCCATCGCTAAATCAATGCTACACCATTGTGAGCAATCTACAGAGATTGCCCCGCTAAACTTTCCATTTGTACCAACAATGATAGTGGTATACCACATATTGGCACATTTGGAGGCAATGGCAATGTGAAGAAATATACTGTAATTCACTTAACATGTGTGTTCACGGTAGCAAAAGTTCGTGGTCTGAGGAAAAATGTTCAAGGAGTTCAAGGATCTATATTATGTTCACGGTGGCAGCAGGTACAGTAAAAAGAAAGTCAGCGAATTATTTGTTCACAGCAATAAGTTTGCGGTACAGAAGTGACCGCAAAGACCGCAAACATAAAAGTGCAACGAAAAAAATCGTGGATTACAGTAGTCTGCTCCATTGTTTGTGAAAACCTCTTGTGGTAGAAGGATGTCTGTTTGGATTAGGTTGCACAAATGGGATGTGTGCATGGAGGACCCCTGGGATAACCTATCTGTCAGTAGGCGTTTGTTAGGACAGTGGTGGATTTTTTGGTCAGAATCAGCCTTGTCAGGGGTTGAAGCTCCTAGCAGGTGTTCCATGTACTGTCTGACAAGAGGTTTTGTAAGGTTCAGAAAAGGGTTCATCTTCAAAATTGGGTTAGCAGTATACGGCTGTGTGTGTGAACAATAGGTTTCTTTGTTCTTGGAAACCAAATAGATTTTTCCAAATCTTGTAGTGTGAATGTAATGTTTGTCCTATCACCTCATATGCAGGTACATATATATCTTGAAGTAGATGTTAACTTCATTTTTACACAGAATGTTAACACAATCCGCTGAACATTGATGATATTTTCATGTTACACATTCATATGACAAGCATGTTGATATTTAATTGCTACTAAAGTTTACAAAGTAAGTAGTAAAGTTTAAAAAACAATTCAACCATCGTTAAGTATACACGTACATTGACATACAGGTAGCATTAGAACTATGTTGGTTTATTTTCCAGATATCTCTTCTTTCTGCAATTAAAAAAGGACCTTCTGTCTGGGAAGTAAGTAAATCTTTTACATACTTTTTCTTGGATTGTTAGCTCCATGCTGAGTGCTTGAATTCTGTATCAAAAAAGCTATTAAATTTAAGTTGTTTTTATTCCTTATATGTTCTGTTTTCAAAGGGATAGCATGTAAGGATATCAAGTTGGTACTGACATGTTCAATTGTGATTGTACACTTTGAATCGGAATTGTTAGAATAAATGCTCTAGTCATGCATGAACAATTTTTTTAGTTTTTAGGCTGGTTCTTTCTTGTGAGTATTTTAGTTGCCTTTTCTGTGTTAAGTGCTTTTTTATGTTTTTCTTGTGGGCATGTTTGCGTGGATATTTCGTGACGCTTTTTGACTCTTTGTACCACTCCAGTGGCAAAGGGGATATGGTTTTTTCCAGGCTTGAATGTGACCACACCACGGCAGTGGAGTTAGCTGGATATGCACTACAATGTAAGTATTGCACCTGTCCTACAAGTAGTAGTAGTGGTAAGCTACTGGTGAAATAATGAATTTCTGGTATTGCTTAGTTTCACCCATGCTTATTCTGTGTTTCTCCCTCAAACTGTGTTCAGTGGTGTATCTTGTCTTAATTCTGGTTGTATGGTTGACCCAACCTTCTAAGGATTTACAGAAATTGTAGAAGCTCATTTGCATTGGTAGATTTGTTCCAACACAATGGAATACATACTGAACAAATTTTTAGCCAAATTTCCAGCCTCCTTTAACTACATTTTGTAATGTCGTAGTTCAGTCACGTTGATTGAAGCTGAAAGATTCCCCAACAATTTTCCCCTCAAACAAATGTTCCAATCATAATGAAGATAAAAGTTTTTACCCTGGTAAAAGAGTTGATGTTTCGTATCTCTCCAGCTGAGCTTGGTGACTGGGATCCCAACGAGTATGAACCAGACATCGTGTCAGAGTTCAGATTTGCACCTGAGCAATCAGAGGAGATGGAGGCAGAGATTCTGGAACAGTGGAAGAAGAACAAGTAAGTACCTTTGTACAACATACATGCAACAGACATTCACCCTTTTCTCATTCCCAGACTTAACTTTGAACGCAAAATGCTCCAACACTGCAAAACACACAACAAACTGTCCAGGAAATAGTGGAGTGCAGATTTCCTTTGGAAGTGTTCACTGTCATTCCTACTGTTATCTGTACATTGCTGCCACTGGCATTTTACATTGTGGGTAACATATACTTTGGTTTTTACTCGCAGTGGCCAGAGTCCAGCCACAGCTGAGATGAACTACCTGAACAAGGCCAAGTGGCTGGAGATGTACGGAGTGGACATGCACTGCGTCAAGGTCAGTGGTAAATAATGGTGTCAAGGTCAATGACAGATAGTACATAAAATGGGTGTTAGCATATACCAAAGATGTGGTGTACTCCAGTCCAGACTATATCATGCTACAGTAATTTTAGAAAATGCTATATCTACACGTAATATACGCACAAAATTTAGCTCAATCTGTCGTCTTTCTAGGACAAAAATCAGTGTGTAAAGATACTGAAAGAGATGTCAGTACAATAAGCTTTTTTTAAGCAAAATTTCAAAAGATTTCAAAATTGTTCTAGGGAGCATGTCCAGGAACCACCATTGATTGTTGAGTCTGCGTCGTGCCTTTGGCGCTCGACATGATGTTATGTTAAAGAAAATTGAGATGACAAAAACATTTCTGCTTCATGCGTACTTATACTTCCATATCTGTGTCCATAGGGAAGAGACGGGAATGAGTACTCACTAGGTCTGACACCGACAGGAGTTCTGGTGTTTGAAGGGAAGACAAAGATCGGGCTCTTCTTCTGGCCCAAGATCACCAGACTGGACTTCCAGGGCAAGAAACTCATCCTGGCAGTGGTGGAGGATGACGATGAGGTAAGGGGGAGGGGAGCACATGTACTTTTAACATGGGAGAAGGGGGAGGGGGGCACATGTACTATGTACTTGTCACAGGAGGGAATGGAAATCTATGATACTAGTCTAGTATCATAGATTTCCATTTAGTATAAACTTGTAATGCCGTATCTTTTGTTTTGAACAATATTCAGAATCTATTTTGTATTCTGTATCCATACCAAAATTCACTTTATGGTCACGGACCAAAATTTAACAGTCGGAGGTAAATGGTGGTGTTCACGGAACTATTTACGGTATAGTGGGGGAAGGGGGGCAAAAGAGGAATGATTGTTAGTGGTAAAGATAAGTCCACAGTACAGAAGTGACTTTGAACACTGCGAAAAATCAGGAATTACAGTATCTGTATAGCCTGCATAACTGCCCTTCTGTGTAACACACTAGCTTCGCTAACATAAGTATTACTATATTAAATTGGGATAATCATAAAGAAGACAAAAGGGGTGGTGAACTTAAAAGCACCTTGACAAAATCAAGAACTACATCAGAATGAGATGGCCATATTGCAGTGTTTTCATCCTGTGACTAACCTGAGACTGTTGTTCCAGGGACGAGAACAGACCCACACATTTGTATTCAGACTGGACCACCCCAAGGCCTGTAAGCACCTGTGGAAGTGTGCCGTGGAGCATCACGCCTTCTTCCGCCTCAAGGGACCGGTGGAGAAGGCCGGCAGGAGGCAACAGCTCCTCCGCATGGGGTCAAGGTTCAGGTTCAGGTAAGAGGCCAAAGGTTGAATAACTGTCAAAGGTCGAATAACATGTCAATCATGCTGTTCATTAAGAAGGATTAGAATTGTATTGTCAAAGATATCTAAATACAGCTTACTGCAATTTTGATATGTATCTATGATGTATGGTGTCTAACCCAAAACCTAAAGTGTATGTATTGTGTTAACAGCGGCAGAACTGAGTACCAAACAGCGCGAAATCGCCAGTCCAGGAGGACGGTGCAGTTCGAGAGACGCCCAAGTCAGAGGTACTCCCGGAGACAGAGCTCTAGAAGACGTGAGTACTTAAAAAACATCCCTCAGTGAAAAACAAAACTCCCTGCATAGCTGTTTAAACAAACATATGCAATGCTACGTAACATGTAATGGTATTTCTCTTAAAATAAATACAGTCAAACCTGTACAAATGACCACCAGTTCTCTACATAAGGACCACCTGGCCTTCCCAAAGCCTGGTAGAGGCTACAAATTTTACTGGTCCCCTGAGTGGTCCTGGACAGTTTTGACTGTATACCAAATTATTTGGGTAAGGGCTTGAGAACTTAACATTGGTAACATTGTCTTATGCTATGCATACATTGGTTATATCTAGGCATGCAGTTTTGATGCAGCTAATGTCTACCAGATAACAATGATGATGCCTTGAGGTTTTCTGTGGAAGTGTGTAACATGTGAATGCATCCATTGCTTTCAGTTGTGAGGCCGCAGATTCTTGGAAGCCCACTGGGTGTGTATGATCTGAATAGAATGTGTCCACCCAACCCATGTGTCTCTTACTAACTAATGACCTAACATTTCACCAAAGGGAATTGTACAGTCTGTCTATACTTGGATGGTTAATGATGTCATTGGGAAATGCCCATATCCTATAATTCCTAAGGAGGATTATCAAAGATTTTTACATCACTGTAATGTTACAAAAAATACTGAAAACAATCAGGAAACTGTCATTTGGCAAATGCTGGATTAAATATGACCGAGCCCACTGGTGTGTTAAGCTGAAGGGCAGTTATACCAGCTACAGTATACAGATGCAGATAATTATAATGTCTTTTTTTAGCAAGTTGGTTTATCAAATATTCTTACATCACTCTAAAAAGTCTAATGTTACATAAAATGCTGGAAATGACCAGGATTAAGAAACTATGATAGATTATCTTCTTTTCAAAAAGGTTTGAAGAATATAGTTCTTAAAGGGTATGGCCCCTTTTATTTATTGTATGTGCATGGACATCCTTTGGTAGACCCTATAACAGCACAGCAGACTGAATAATCTGAAAAATTAGACCTATTGTGCCTTTCTTTGTCTAGGGCAGTAAGTTAAGCTTGAAAAAGCTTTTGTAACAACAGCTGATAGGTCATAGATGCTGTCTCAGGGTTTGAAGACTGTCTAATTCCCCATTTCCTGGTGTCATCTGTTGTCCATTGTACTTGCCTCATTGTTCATTCCCAACATACAGCATGACCTGAATGATAACTATCAAATCATAACAATACCTTTATCAATCCAGCAACAACATGACAGGAACTCAAAATTCACATTCAAACATTTTGCTGTTCTTCCTAGGAAGATAAAAGCTTCTGACAGGAAGTCATGATATCAAACAATTGTTCTTGGACAGGAAGATCTTTGAGTGTGGATTTTTGGTCCTGAAATATTTATAAGCTGTTAAAGTACTGTGAAAATTATGTCCATCGTTGCTGCTTCTAACCGATTGTTGTCTCTGGCAGGGATGACATTCAGTCTTTTAACATTTAATGTCACCAATTTGTGTATGTCTTAATTTCAATTTCCGGTTAATGTGTATTTAAAGACTTAAAAGCTATGTTTAGTTCAAATGTGATTATATGATAAAAATCATCATGGTACTATTCTTTATTGCAAAAAAAATGGATTTCTATTTTCATGTCAGACTATAGGATTTTTAAATTTTAGGATAGTGCATTGTTAATGCTTGTTTGAAATGTTAGTATTTCTGCTGAAAGCATGGTATGGTGTAGCCTGATTAAATCGCTTTTGCCGGCCGCCCAACATCCAGCCGGCGAGCTTGTAACAAAATGCACTTGACTTTTGTAAAAATCTCTAAATCTGTGTTGCCTTTTTTTGTGCAGCAAATGCAACAACCCCGCCTCTGAGAACATCATCCCCAGTCACTACAAGGTATCTTTTTTATTTTTCTTTAATTCCATGATGTTATTAGAGTAAAATACTGTCATGTTTTGTCTGCTTACCATGTTTTAGTCTTAGATCGCATCACTTCCATTGATGCTTCAATGTTGGTTTGTAAAAGATATTGTATTATATTTGTTTTCAGACCACAAACCAATGGTCCTACTCCCACAATTGAAGAGGAGGTAAGTAAGGCTCACTTCTCTTAGCAAATCTTTGTATCCATCTGTTGATACTGCATTACTTTAGTGTAACCTTGCTTTACACTTTACACATAGAAGTATACTATTTTTTTCAGAACATCTTGCACATAGAAGTTAACTATTTTTTCAGAACATAGTTTACTCGCTATTGGCAGTGCAAGCCAAAAATTAAGCAGGAATAGCATTCTAACCTCGGCTTACCAACACAGTAGCCTGTTTACCATCCTGGTTAGTTTACGTCTGCGCCCACAGTCTCTACCGACCAACCATTGGCTAGCAACACAAGTTTGCTGGTTCTTCTCTCTCAACATTTCCTGAAAATTCTGTCAACGCTTTCTGAAAATTCAAGTTGTTTCCTATGTTTCTGTTCTAAGCCATCAGAGGAGACCCCAGCTACCACTCCAACCACAACGGTAGCGACAGCCGTGGTCACCACGCCCACCCCCGCCGTAGCAGCGGCGACCAGTCCCACCGTCGTAGAGGTGGACGCGATCGTAACCACGCCGACGTCGCCCACGCCAACCTCACCCACCACGGATGGGCTGAGTGGTAAGTATGGCAGTCATACTAGGCAACAGCCAGGTGCATGCTGGGAAAGACTTCCGAAAATTGAACTGCAAGAAAATTAATGCTGTGTAGAATACAATAAATTGGCCTTCAAAAATGAAGCCAGAAGATTATAAGGAAATCTTTAAGCAATGTCTTCAGAGGACTTTGTTACTGAGGTCTTTCCTCTATGTCTTTCCCAGCAATGCCTGGTTGTTCAAGTGTTGTGCAGTGACGTGAACATCCCACATTGTCTTCTGCCAACAACATACCGAACAAAAAAACCCAAATCCCTCCAAAAACTCATCCCATCTCCCCAATTTTTCCCCCTGAAGCCAGTGTTTTTATTATTTTTCCAACATTTTCATGATGAAAGTCCATTGCCCCCCTCCCCCATTGTTGTCCATTTAAGTTGTCTTGAAATGCGTGACCCAAGGCAGGAGCCATGTTGGGAGGGGCACTTTAATGTCCATGTTGTTGCTTGCTTACCCATAGTTCCTGCTGCTTCGGTTGATGATGTGCTGATAACCTTAGATGACCCTGAGCCCCAGCCCGGGTCAGCTGTTACGTCCGTGTTGAGTGGTAAGCTAAATCTTACTAGAATACTGTCCATGATAAAAACTCTGTCCTTGTGTACATGTATGTATGTGAAGTGTATTGTATGGTAAGAAATTTGGTTGACATTTTTTCACCTGTACCATTGATAAGGTGAAACAATGTTTTGATGTGTTGTATTTGTGCCATCAGAAAAGTGGAAAATCTATTGCTAGAATTTAATTTTTTACAGCATCAGGACCCAATGAAATGATTTGATATGGATACTCAGAGGATTTGAAAAGTTGTTGATTTTTTTTGGGGAAATATTGACATAAATATACAGAATTCTGTCTGTACCAAAATCATAAATGTTGGCCCATATAAAATGCACGCTGCATCTTTCGACTACAGATTCAGAATACAGTGGATGATGATGATATGAAATGCATCTCAGAAAAGTGCAATAATTATTGTAATTGCAGCCCTCTTGAAAAGCACCGAGCACCAACAATTGTAGCACTATAGATAAAGAAGTAAACCACATCTAATATGTATATTTTTTCTTCCTTTTTTTCCAAGCCTTGCATGGTAATGCTACAGTCACAAGACCAGGTGAAGTGTTGTACAAATATGGTGTTTTTGTAGCAGTTGTTGTAGTATCCCACATAATCTCATTAGTTCTCCTTACAAGTATCCCTTCATGGAAAGTGGTTAGGACCAAGAATGACACAAGGCTATTGTGATATTGACCACATTTATGAAGGGATGGTTGGATCTTTCTGCTTGGCACATTATTTATGGTGATGGGAACACTCATTAACTTGGCACTTTCTTTGCAGTTATTATTTTGGCATTAACATGATATGATTACACATTTATGATTTGCACAGTAGTTACTTTGATGTCTTACATACACGTGACAATATGAAAATTAGACATATCATTTCTTGGCACTCAATGTATTTTAGAAAGAAAATCTGATTGTTGTATTGAAATGTTTTGTAGTTACATAGCCCCCTTATATGAGTAGAAAGCAAGAAAATTTGTTGAAGAATCCATTTGTTCTTAACCCATCTGCTCCCCTCCCCCAAAAAATATTTGTATTTCTATATTAATGTATATTTGATAATACATGTATATTCATTCACGTAATGAGAACGTTTTACAGAATCATTCAAAAGACTGAGGAACTATGTACAATATCTTACCAGTAGGACAATATACATGTAGCCATCATACTAGTATACCTTAGAAGGTACATATACAATGTAGCTACGAGCAGATTCTACAACAAACTTTTGCACTTCTTTTACTGACAAGTTTTGCACTTCTTTCCAACAACAGAGGAAGAGAAAGCAGCGGTCAGGTTGAAAGGCATCTCCGAGGAAAGCGGGGCAAAAGAAGCAGCAAAGGCCAAACAGAAGATGAAAGACGTCAACCTGAACAACGAGCAGCCAATCGACAAACTCTCGGGAGCGCGCCCGATCCCTCCCGACCAGATGAAGTGTAACATTCTCAAGGCTAAAGTCGAGGAGGAGGCTGCCAAGAAGAAGGCGTTAACTGTTGCACTTGAACCTAAGACAGAGGTAAAGAAGGTGAACGAGGTTAAGGAAGAGGTGGAGGACTCAGAAGAAGAAGAGGAAGAAGAAGAAGTGTGGTAAGAGAAGTTTCTTTGTTTCAGTTTTCAGCATTTTAAAGATTGCTCTTACTTGTTCCTCCTCTTCCCCCACTGTTGTATCTAACAAGGTTTCTCTCCTCCTTGCTACCAGAAACAGAGCATGTAAACATTTATTTGCCTTTTCTTCCAAGTCTTTCACTTTTAAGAGCAAAAGAATAAGAGACACTGGTGAGAGTGCACTGCTAAAGGTTTATGTTACAAGCCCTAGCACTTGTAGATACAGGGCATAATTTCCGCAATACAAACAGTATAACAGTTGCCTTGGTATAACCACAGGATTGTGGTCTTTTGTGCATGTTTTGTTTTATCAAACTGGCTTTAGTCAAATTCCCAGAATCCTGTCCAAGATGTTCACAGATGACCAAACAGCCTTTGCTCTTCATGAATCTTAAAAGTAAATTGATAAATGTTAAATACAAAAGGGACCTGAAATTATAACGTGTTCACAAAATGTCCTAGATGTAGAGGATGTTAATGTTGGATAGATGTTGCATGTTTTGTTGCTTCTAGTATGTTTTGTAACAGTCGTAGTTGTGTAGTTAGTATTGCTAGCAGTTTTACATTGCTTTTAAAGAGAAGTGTGTTGCTTGTGTTGTGCATCATGCTTAGCCTATTGTCTGCACATGTTGAAAAGAAGGGCTCTAGCCAGTGCCCATTTTTAAATCTTTTTTAACCAGTCCATCAACATTGACAGACAAAATTTACAAAAATGTTGGGTAAAGATATAAAAACATCCAAAGAACCACTGACAACCAGTTTCAGCACCATGATTTGCCTCTAAAAATGTTGGAAATTGCGTTTTTGAAGGCTTGAAAACCCCACTAGTTTGGGAACGTCTTTGGTGCTTCCAAAGGTCCAATTACATGTCTGGATTGACGGGAAAAAATTTTGAACTGGGTAGAGCCCTGTTGCAAAAGTATGTCCCTGTCGTGCTTTGCGAATGGACAATCATGGCGGAAGGTGACTAACCGTAACCTCTCCCTTCCTTCCCTCCCAAACTACCGTGTCACGTCATGTCTCCACGGACACCTAACATTCCGTCCTTGCGAACGGTACGTACCATCCTCGTCATTCTAGGAGTGGATCGTATGTTCCGCCTCAGACATCCGCCTTCTTCTAGAGAAGATCTTTTAACCAAACCAACCAAGCCTTTCAATACTAAGATGCAAACTTGAACTGTTAAAAAGACTTAAATAATACTGACAATCCCTCTGTAAAAATTTGCTTGTTGATTCTTTTTAACCTTGATACCTTTTAACCTTTTAAGATAATGAAAAGAGCTTCTGCGTGAGAAAATGCAGAGCACAGACATTTTATTGAGTATCACGTACTCATTGTAGGAAATTTGCTACCAACTAGAAATAATCATGATATTTTTATATCATGTGATGCCCATTTGGCTGTATACTGTGATTGGCTGTTTTAATCATATGACAATCTCTGTACTAACAATGAATTTTAAACACCTGGGACTTGATATCTTGCTAAATACTTTAGTAAACTAAGTAAAAATTAGACAGAATTACAGTGCCTTCACTGCTTAGAACTTGCCGCATAAGAACAAAAAATGTTTTATTCTATAGACAAAGCTGAAGACAATACTTTTAGATTTTAACAACGTTGATTAGCTTGTAAGTTGTAGTGAGAAAACGTGCAATGTACCAGTGTAGTGTAGAAGTAGCAAATGTTAAATGCCATTGTTTTAGGTGTAGTTTCATGTCACCAAGAGATTGCTTTTACCCACATGCTTTTTTTGTGATTTTTGGATGTTTGTTTGTCTGTCGATACGTCATGTGAACTAACCCCTTCATCTAATCTTGTTTTCCTAGATGTGTGGTGTTGGGGAGTTTGTCGTGCATCTAACGTTAACCATGGTGTTGTCATTTCGTACCCTCAGCCTAACCCTACCCCCTCACTCATACATGTACATCATTTTTATTTTTTTTATTATGATTTATTCCATGTTGCCTGTCCATTTCCAACAATATTACTATATTAATATTAAGATGTACATGTACCAACAACCTGTGAGATTTTCATAATTTATAAAATCATAATACTGAATTGAGACAAAGTTTATTGACACAAGCATTTCATCAAGGACAAGTATAGAGCCCTAAAAAGAGCTTTACTGCATGGCATAGGAAAGACAAAGACAGCATTCTTTGGTAAAAGAGATATTTGTATCATATGAAAGGATGATCATAGTTTTGCTCAGAAGTAAATCATAATATAACCGTGTACAGTTTTTCTTCGCGTCCAGCCTGTATATTATATTAAGTATACTTTGCAGAGCAATAATAACTGTCAAGGTTTCTGACAAATCACAGAATGTGTGATTGATCGATACCATATTTCAGAGGTAGAAATGACTGACAATGGTATTGGTGTTAACCTAAATTGTAGCTGTAGCTTTTTTGTGCTGCCAATCTTTCAATGTGACATGAACTTTGTGACAAAGGATGCTTAAATGCTATCTTGTCAAACGCGATGTGTGCTTGACGTTTGAATGTAGTCGTAGGAAATGTGCATTAATTTACATGTAATAAGATGAGTCAGAGTTAATACTGTTTGTTGAAATCTACTCAATGACATTTCAATGACTTAAAGTATGATGATTTGAATGTTTGACACAAATCAGGATATTTAAGAGTAACAGTCATGTTGCAAAACCCCAGTCAATGCCCATACTAATACTGCATACTTAAGCATCTAAGTATTAACATAGGTTAATCCGAACCGCTGACACAAGAATAAAACTTGCCACATAATAAGTCTGCATGTATTTGTGTGGAGTGAATCCTTTTCTTCTAGTTTTGTGTTTTATCTGGTGTGTTATGCATGAGATAGAAACGGACACAATGAAGGATCTTTACAGCAGACCGTCCCAAAGCGCATGTAAGTGGACATCCGATTTGTTCACAGTTGTGTAGACTCCGTAGAGTAGCTGCAGTGTGCCTCTGTTGTTGTTTTGTTGTAGTGGCCTTGCTTGAGCACACTCACTCTGCTATCAACAGATCAACCCTTGTTATTATTTCAGCAATTTACAGCCAAATTTTGTTTTTACATCAAGGCCAGGCCAACAATTTTGACACACCAGACCTTTAAAAAGGGAAAACAAGTCTGTAGTTAGCTGACATAGATGTATCCCTGTTGTCATTTGTAGGAAAACAGAATTTGTTATTGGACATTTTGGTTTGATTCGGAAATCTTGTTTGTGAAAAACAGTACAGTTGTTGGCCAGCCCTTTTGCTATTTTGTGTTCACTGCACAGTTTGTGCCACCATTGTGGCCACAGCCTTCCAATCACTGCATTGACCAATCTTCTTTTCTCTTGCTTCTCACTAATATGGAAGGTTGCTTAACCACCTTGGGGAGCTTTCTTTGTTGTAATATTTGTTCCCACCTTATGCTGATTATGACATTTTGTTTGATGGTGTTACAGCCTTGCATATGTTTTGTATTTGTTTATCTCCAAGCTATGCACATAGCTCTTTTTGCGATACTTAACTCTCTAAGTGAAGACTGTACTGAGAGAAACATTTTATATTTCACCTGCAGTACCAGCATCTCTCCCCCGGGGTCGCCTCTGCACTTGAATGTGGACCATGATGAAAGCGAGGCTTTGCTTGGCAAGTCTCACAGTGATGAAGAATTGTAAGTATTTTCCTTCTGCCCCCCTCCCCTTCTCTGTGATTTTTTTAAATTCTACAGATTTTTACTAGCAGAAGCAATTTAAAAAATCAGGTGTACCTTTGTGTATGTGGCAGTTGTTCCAATGGCTATATTTGCTAACTTTGATTTGATTTTGTCTGTATACATTGTGTATGTACTTGCTTATCTTTACTTTTGTTTTCATCACAAATGTTGTCCACTTTTTATCAGAGTTGTAAGGGAGAAGGAAAAACCAAAGGAGAAGACAAAGAAGCAGAAGAAGGAGAAGAAAGAAAAGGAAAAAGAGAAGGAGAAGGAAAAAGAAGTGAAGATTGAAGAAAATGGAACAGACCAACCAGAAGAAGAGAAAGGAGAAGAGGAGTCAGAAACAGTGAAGCCCATCACACTGTCACCTCTGGTGTTAAATGTGGATGGTACCACTTGTCTTGGAGCAGAGGGGGGAGTAGCAGCAGAGAAACCGAAGAAGTCATCAACATCCTCAGTGTCTAGTACGGTAGGGAACATCATAATTACATGTAGTTGTGGACCTCTTGGCAGCAATAAGCTGATACAATCAATGTAATGTAAATGAAGAAAATTCCAGGCACTTTTCAATCAACTTTTTTTTCATGGATTTCAGAAGTAAACTGATAAAGTATTTTAGTATTTAGCGTGATGAGTGATTAAATTAGTAATAATTAGTCGTAAAGATTATTGAAGTTTAGTGTTTGGTAGTTTTCTGAATTGAATAAAATTTTTAAGATGGATTTTAGGTCATTAGCGTGCATTTAAATGGTTCTCTTATATGTGTGTGTCAGCAGACATACTAGTAATTTGTTTCATTTGTTGTATCCCTTTAGGAGAAGTCACCAACTCGGACACGACAAATCTCTGAGACATCTGACCTCATCCAGTTTGATGACACTGTCCCCCTGGTAAGTCAGGTGGTCTTGGAACAGTACCATGTACAGATGCGCCCTCTATCAGAATACAGGATAAGTGCAAGTGATCAAAAGAAAAACAATGACTCAACTATTCCACATTTTGCATGTCATTGCCTTGACATGGTTGGTCAAAAAGAAACAGCATCAAAAGTAACAAAAGGATTATTTTTCAGTAGGAATATTATCTACTACATTGACAGAAATGCTAGACATTAGCGTATACAGTATCTAACTCACACATACAGGTATAGATTTGTTACTAGTATATATACAGTTGTGTAATGTGTCTTTATCTGATTTCTGCCTGCCCCCCCTCCCCTAAGAAATCGTCCCACCTACTATAAATATAATTAACAAAGTTCCTGCTCAAATTGTACATGGTTCTTACATGTCTTCTCTATTCTATATTAAACTTTATGCTTCCCTGCAGTATTCAGTGGTATAGGTAGGACATGGTGCTTTTAAAGTTAAACAAAACTTCTTGCAATGTAACAACAGTAAGATAATGCCATTGAGTCATAAAAATGGTATAAATATTAACTATAAACATTCTAACATTCCAGCCTGCATTTGATTGAAATTGTCTGCAACTATATGTACTTACAATAACTCATGAAAGTAGCAGACTTAATAAATAAGATAACATGCAGATTTCAAGAATCTATGCAGCTGCTTTGATGATTTCTTGCCTTTCCTGTATGGTGGGTTCTAATTCTCTACACCCCACACCTCTCTTCACTCCCCCTATATCTGTTGCCCCCTCCCCCCTTCCCTAGCTCCTGCCAGGGAGCCCTGTCTCTGAACAGCCTGACAGCACAGAGACACATGTGTACACTGTAAGTGGACCTAGCCGTAGCACGGCACTAGATGTGTGTTTCGGAGTAAACTGTTCGTGTAGGCACGACACTTTCAAGCAAACATGACCCACATATTTCTCCCTAGTTACATGTACATAGGTGACTAGACCAGAGTAAATAGTTGACTGTTAGCCTGAGTTGAAAAGACATTGAAACTTGAGGACTTTTTTACTATTTGTTAATGCATCAAATAGTGCCAGATAATGTTAGCTCAACCCAGTTCTAATCATCCTTGATACTGTCAAACTTTAGGCTTCAGAAAATGCACACAATTTTATCACTAGTTTCTTGCCTGTATGTTGCATGAATTAATGCTGTGTATGAGAGGCATAATTCAGGTTATGGTACATAGTTTGTGGAATTTAATTGTTTAACTTCTGTATATAGTTGAAGGCATTTCTATAAAGAGGTAAATAACTATAAAAACCACGCATTTGAACTACTTTTCCCATCTCTACTTGTAATGAGGGTTCTCTTCCCTTGAATGAAACAGAACCTTCCATTGGCTGTTGATGCATGTTCTGATGAAACAGAACCTGCCATTGGCTGTAGATGCATGTTCTGATGAAACAGAACCTGCCATTGGCTGTTGATGCATGCTCTGATTCTGTTCATCCAATCCCTTCTCAGGAGACATCCTTCGGGCCCAACATCGTGACCCGCTCTGCCTCCAGCCTGACCAATAAGAGCAAGCCTGAGCAAATTGTCATCAAGAGGACGAAATCATCAGCTGCGGTCAAAACCACCAAAACCGTACCAAGAACATCCACCTCTTCTCTGGAGGATAAGAAGATACTTACCACTGAACTTTGACATGTTTTATACCTCCGAGTATAAGATAATGATGATAACAGCACATTGGTAATAAATATAACACAGGAAGGAAGAGGTTTTATAACAAGATGCAAAGCAAAACATCAACTTTGCATACGAATAATGGATAGTTATATTTTCGTACTCATACAAGGTTTACACATACTAGCCAGTCAACGTTTTAATACTGCAAGAGCATCTGTCTTGAAAGTGTAGTTTGTATGTAGGAGAATGCAACTTTTTCATAAAGATGATGTGAAAGCTAAAGCAAATTTTCCTCATTAGGTAGAAAGACAATGTCATTCATGAGAAACTGATGGTTATTCAAAGAGTTTTAAGGCCTTCCCTCTGTACTTCTTTTAGACTAAAGACAGCAGAACAATTTTAGACTTTTATCCTGAACTTCTTAACACAGTAGTGTTGCATATTAGATTTTAACCACTGCCTCTCATAGCAGGACATTTTATGATATTTATGTATATTATATGTACAGTATAAATTCTAATTTTTACCTTGTTAGCAGACCGCAAGTTGCGTTCAGTTTAAACTTTAATCCTTGAAACCTTTATGGACAGAAAACTGCACTTTGGGATTTTAAAAAGTGATATGAATTAAGTATGTGCTAACGGATCTTGGTAATATTTCCTCACTAAATGATGAAACCTTATCTAGGAAATAGACTTCACTTATAGCTATACAATGTCATACCATGCAGTTCATATCAGGTAGTTAGATGACATGATATGCTGTAATTTTAGACATGTTTAAAAGATAACAAAGCAATATTGAGAGCAGTTATTTGACTTCTGTGGTTAATTTACCAGCAATTATACAGGGTTATTTCAAATCAATCTCTGTGAATGTGATCCTTAGATTTGAAGTGAATGCTAGAAACCGCAGGGAATTGTAGAGTTAGACATCTATGATACACAATGTAGGGCAAATTCTGTTGATACATGGTCAAGTAAATGGAAGGATCCATTCTTGGGTGGGTCATGTTGAAGGGACAAGTGTTAAATCTTCAGTAAGCTTGTTGCCTGTTAAATCAAAAGCTGAAGCCACATATCTGACATGTCTTGGATAGGCAGTGCACATTAATTTGTTTTTAGAGACTCAATTTTGAAACTGATTTATTTAGTGTAGAATACTGCAAGGTAGTGAAATCACAGTATACTATTCAGAACAAACAAAAAAACAAAGTGTTGGAAATGATGATTTACATCATATTATTAAAATCTTGTACTTCTAATGCTAGCACCAAGAATGTTATGGTACATGTACAATGTACCACCCTAGCCCTGGTACTTACTTTTTCAGTGCACAACATCTAAGCCTCACTGAAATTTTCTGTTTCACTTTAGCACTGAAATAACTTAAACTTTCTTTTCTGACTTCCTTGTCTATGTGTAGAGAGACAACAAAAAGTACAGTACTGTTTTTGTGTCAACCTTTATTCATGTGCTCCGAGTGAACAAAAATGTATCATGGAAATATGTTGCACATTCCACCACTTCATAGTACATGTTACCATGTCATCAATGTGAGTATAAGGGCTCTGCCCAAGTGGTGTTGCCAAAAAGACTTGTTGTTCCATCGTTAAGTGCATAGTGTTACTGTAGCAGAGCATTTCACAAACTATTTTACAGTATGTACTTTCTACTACTGTCAGTGAATTCTGTGAAAATTCCCAGCATTTTCTAGATTACCTGTACAATTACATTTGGTTATATTCTTTCAGTTATGTGTAATCCTAAGTTCTTAGTTCTCATGTACAATTTTCAGGTTTACATAGGTGTAACAATTCAACAAACTTTAGAATTAGACCATAAGCATTAAATGTACATTACACATTAATGTATTTACAAGATACACCCTACAAACTGATCTAGGAATAGAATTCATTGTTTGTGACTTTGTATTCAACATGGTTCAAATAACAGTCATGCATACTTCGAACAGTACTTCAAGGTTCCTTTGTGTTTATGTTTACTACAAATACTAACATGAAGTCTTCTAGTAAACAACAATGCTGTTATGTTAGATCTAAAAGGCTTCAAGCCAATCATACAAAAAGTGATCATAATATGTCAACATTAGACACAATCTAACTTGTACATATTAATAATGACTCTACCCTGTTTAGTTGGTTCGTGTACTATTACACAGATACCGGTAATATAGCACTCTACAAGGGAAGCGGTGTATGTACAATAGTACAGAACAGTTCAGAATTTTATGCCCATTCTCAATATCACTAATATCCCAACAAATGACAGTTTAAAGTGTTTCAAAGCGCCCAGCACTCTCATAGCCCCAACAGACTTATAATACACAGTGCAGTGAATATTAACACTCTACATTGGTCACATTTACATTTTATACAATGGAATAAGTTACCATTTAAATTCAAGTCACTTCAACTCAAAATGTCTCGAATTTACCACAGCACATCCCTAGAACCGAAACTTGAAATACCTGTTAAATCTGACTCTGGAATATTTTTGTGTTTCTTTGAGGCACCCTTTACTTTTGTGAATGACGGAGCGAATTTGATGCTATGTTTACCACCGCTCCAGGGGGATGTCAGATAGTTGGTTTTTCTCGCCGAGCGCTTTGCGACGTGGTGTGAAAAGTCAACGGGCACGACGATGAAAGCGCGGTGGTTTTCGCACATGACTGCGACGTCCTCGCTGACCAGCAGCTGGATGTCGGTCACCTCCGGAGCAACAACGATCATTTCGTCAGTGCGGTCAGTTGGGTCATAGTCTCCTTCAGCATACATCTCCTGTAAAATAGAATAAAACACACAATCAGACCTTCAGCTCATAAAGTAGCAAACATTCAGGTCCTCTGCCTGAACTAAATCTATTTCTTTAACTGATGAAAGACACTGGATGGTGTTAGAAGCATCTGAATTTTGAAAATGTATCCATATTTTTCAATTGAAATTATATTTCCTGGATGTCTAAGTTTCACAAACGTACATATGAAATGATTACTGAAATACTGTACCATCTAGGTTCCTTTGAAGTTTGAGCAATTTTAACTTATCTGTTCTTGTGAGACTATATGACACTAGTTTGAACAGAATTTCAAAAAGAATTCTTACCCGTTGGCCAATGTCCATAATAGCCTGGCTCCAGTCTTCTGGGGACGGCCACAACTCAGGCTCCAGTGGACGAAGGAAGCACATGCGGTCGCTGTAGTCTTTGTATATCGTCAGGTTCTGTAAGGAAAATGTTGAAAATTGTCAATACTCAAGCAAAGTATACTTACAGTAACAGGTGGTTGTGTTGTGACATACATGTATTTACACATAACCTGATTGTTGTAGAGTCCCAATATCTTTGCACTTAAAAAACATGGTATCAAACTAGTGAATACGTAACAAGCACAATATTATGTGTGCCAAAGGCAGAGCCATCATTCCCTTGTGTTCAATGACTTGCCTATCTCTTGTAAATATTTATATTTACATGGTTGGCATGAATTCCTAATACACTGTATAATTAATCTGTAAAAGCTGTTAATTCTTAATTTCTACCTACCCTGGCAAAATCCATGATCACTGTCACTCTCTGATAATGTCCGTTGTCTGGAACATCAAAGCGTTCAATTCTTCGCTCTGTGTCGATCTGTACGATCTCAGCAATGTCTTCGCCGTGCACGTGGTATTTCTTGACGTAGTTCTGTTGAGATAAGAAGGAATTAGTTAATTACTCCGAGTTAATCCTTCCTGCAAATTTGCTCCACTGGAGAAGTTTGCTCAAACTGACATCAAAGCTTCCTACCAAACTGAGCGGGGTGAGAAAATTCAGCACAATATTTGTCTAGGATGAGACTTGTAAGTTTAGGTGCTGTACAAATACATGCTTGAAGAATTATAACACAATCAATATGCCTTCATGAAAATTGATGGAATCAACAGATTGCTTTTATGAAAAACATCATAAGCATCTTAGTATGATTATCTGAGTGATGTATTCAACTCAGCCACCCACACATGTACACATCCGCACTCCCAGGTCCATCATTTGTCACAGAAAGGAGTCAATATCGCTGAATCCTGTTGTTTGTTTCTGTGGCAGTTTAGTATTGGGATAAGCCTCCCTTGGCACATATCCCAGAACTTGTCTGTCTTAATGTAAACACACCTGGGAGCAGGCAGGGTTCTGCGAAAGCCATCGGCTTTTCAGGTGGAACAGACAAACATCCGGACTGGTACGTAAGCCATTGGCTATAAATACTACAGTTTAACAACTCATTGTTTGCATGTTGGATAACACTGGAGGTGTGGCACTGTTGGTAAATATTTTCCCTTGAAGGGGGATGCCATAACAGAGACTGTGGCCTGTTTACCTGATAACCGTTTGGCCATTGTTTTCATAAACAATGTAGTTTATGTCGTGTTAATGCAGTTCTGGGTTGTGGCCTATGAAAAGCAAAAAAGTCCTTTTGTCATCTGCTAAGGAGGGGGATTTCTCTGAGAAGAATGGAACATTTTTGTGACACCCAGAAAGCTATATAAATACAAAGGCAACGGTTTCTTTCTTCCTATCCTTTTAGATGGAAGTCTTTTACAAATTAACTCACATAGCTTGCATTTTACATTTCTTAATTTTAGCATCTCTCAGGAGTCAATTCATTGTCCTTTCATCCTTTATTTTGCAATTCTTCGTCAGTTTGTGGGATAAATTTCTTTGTTCTCTGTTGTAAGCGTCCCTTACCACAGTGTTTTCCTGGTCCAGATGATGAGGTAGGATGTAAGATGAGAACCCAGGAGTTAGCGGCACACTGCTCTCTGGTTTCCCATCCAGATACCGCCACACTGCCGTCCCGGCAAGGCCCCCTACTAACACCATCACCACCATCACGACTGCCGTCACCATCATCAGGCCCTTGGTGCTGGTGGGTTTGGGGTCTGGTTGTGCCACGTACACCTACAACAGACCAAAACATGCCAGTTAGTTTTAACAAAACAAAACCTTGCGATACCAAAAATATTTGTGTGGGTGAATGTTAGTCTTACTCACTTCTTCAAATATTTAAATCCTGGCAGTTGCACAAAATAAACGTGTTGCCTTTAGATAGCTGCACTTTTTTCGTCCCTTTGGCTTGCTGTGTTATGACTTGTGAAGCGTTCAAAATAAACTGAGGGCTAACCCAACAACTTGAACAAGGACATGCTTTGTCAACGCCCCCAAATTTCCCAGCTTGTTTTTTTGCGCTCTGTCTGTGCTCATGTTTCCCTTGCTTTCTCGGTTATCAACTACAACAATAGGATGCCCTATTTTCTTTCCAGGTCGTGACCTTTAAAAGTAAGAGAAACGACCCATTTGTAAGGACATTGCATAAACTGGGGGTGTGGATTTCACTTTGTTTACAACCTGTTTCCCGCCAACAGGTTTCGCGCGCATTCACCTGCTACTCCAGATAATTATGCAATCTATATGCGCATATACTATACTGCCCTACGCATGAATGACGTATTTTACATGGATGGGCATTATAACTGTTGAATTATTAATACATCTGTCAACAGATAATTTTTTCTGGAAAAAAACGGAGGCGGCTTTATCCGGTTTTGTCTGGATCGCTAGGCGTGAGCTTTGGCTTTCATTTTGTTACGTCTGGTTCAGCTTCATTTTGGGGCCGCCAACGAAATCTAAACCACCTGAATGCCCTTGTCCTAAAACTGGAACGGCAATGTAAATTAGATTAGAGCAAACAAGGACATTATTGGGGCAAACAATTTGACCAAAACCGGCGGTACTGCGTCTGTTGTTGTCAACAAAATGTTGGCGGGCGCTCTTCTCGGCACCTAGCCAACTGTGTGTTGACAAGTAATTGTTCTGACTTCCACTTGTTTTGAACGATCTAACGGAAAGAGCTGTGGGTGTAAACAAGGAACCAGCAACGGTCAAAGTCTATCTATATACAGTAGTGCAGTTTGGACCAGATAAGAAAAACCGTTGACGTAAATCAACAATGAAAGTATTACGTTACACATTTTACCGCGATGTCCCACTGCGTTTACTGTGTTATAGCGTTACTACTTAGTAAAGTGTTCCCCGATTATAACTGTTTTTTAAAAGCGCACTTTAATAGCACTGTGGCTTGAGTGGTCGTATGGATCGATTAAAGCTTTTTGTTCAAATTTGAAACGAAGCGTGTCACTCATGATGGAAAATTACCTCCGGATGGCGGGGCGTGAGTCATATGACTGGTGTTCGGTGCTATATTTGTCCAAACGACGTGAATGGGGGCCGCGTAAGGCAACCCAAACAAAACCGCCCTTCTCCAAAAATAGGCATCGACGGTTACGTGCCACAACATCTGGCCGTCTTCCCATGTCTGAGGACTTGATAACGCAACATTTCCGGAATTATAAAGACATTTATATAGTCCGAGTAAAAGGCAGACTGTTTTGAAACAGCAATTCCCAAGAGTCGTCACGTGCTTGTGTTATGATTCTATGACCGGCCGGCTCTTTTCTTCCCCCAACATTTCTTCCTTTAGATGTATCTACGCGATTGAGGGACAGATTCGTGTTATTTATGGCGTCTACGATTACCAAAGGTCGGCTTTCCTTTCTTCGCACATCGTTAGATTGGCGTGAAATTCCTCACGCGGTTTCCCGCCCAAACGACATCCCAGTGATGGATGGTTTCGCGCGCTATTCCCTCACATGACCCGCACCACGCCCGAGGCGGCTCGGGTGTAGCGACGAGGAAACCACAACAAAAACAACAACAACGCTCAAATACAGCCATGAAAAATCATGCTAGACCATCCTGCCGCTGCATACGTTTGTTCGTCAACGATTTGAGAATTATTGACCAAAAAACACATTGATTCAAAGAGTGGCCTACGTGCGTTTTACCAGAAACGTTGGTGAAACCAAGGACGAGAGGCGGGGGACGAAAAAAAAATTGCTACGTGCATGTTTCGCCTCAGGCTTTGGATCGTACATTCCTGCTTTAAAAACCACCGTGCAAACCTGTCCATACGGTGTTTCAACATGATTTTAAAATTTCTCACGGATTCAATGCATCAGCTTTCCATTTTCCAAAGCAAAACAACAGGCGGGGAATACCCACAACACAAGGAAATAAACCATTTGATCACACTCACATGACCGTCGGGGGCCAGGGTACATTCCACGTCCACGAATTTCGCCTTTTCCAGATCGCTAGCCATCATAAAATCCCTCAAAATGCCGTTCAGTGATGATCAGAATATAAGCTGAGTCGCTGGTTCTCAAATCCCCTCGCTTTGCGCGTAGACAGTAAAGATTAGAAGGTAAAATCGTCAGGAAAGCGCAGCTACGATGTGCTCAGCTCGCCGGTTGTACCCTTTGTGTGTCACCACGAGGCGCGTGGTTTGTTTATATCGCTCATTGGTCCACATTCTGGGAAGACCCCCAGCGGACAGCTGGTGACGTCACGACTCCCTTATATGGAGCGACTGCCCTTATTAGGAACAGGTAACACCCTCTCTCGTGGGACGTTCTGCATACATCCTGTTACTTTCTATTAGTGCAGGTACTACTGGGTAGTCGGAAAAAGCTGTCGCTAGCAGTTTTGCTGGGCTGGAGGGCTAGAGGAACAATAAAAGCTGCTGACATGCCGGTACTTCAGATTCTGCATAAATTATTTTTTGGAGGGAAATTAATAGGATGAACAGTGTTGAATGGTGGACACAGTTTGCGTTCCATATTTCATATCTATGAATAGCACTGTCAATAAACTATTATGGTAATAGTCTTAAAAAAAGCCTTATTCCTGCCAAGTTTATCGCTCGTATACTTATGATAAATAATTTAGCCGCAGAAGCCCGTGGCTTAGGGACTGTACGATATTTACCGGGGGGGGAGGGCTGGTGCACTGGGGGGGAGGGCCATTGAAAAAAAATTTGGCCTGGGGGGGAGGGCCATGGAAAAAAATTTTGAGCCGGGGGGAGGGCCATCGAAAAAAAAAATTAGGCCTGGGGGG